GCACCATCTTCACCCGTCATTGAGAAAAAGCGTGACGGGCCTGCTGCTCCGATTACTGATAAATTTGCAGCAACGTCAAATGTTAGAAAAAAATATTAAAATGGTTAGATTTTAATTTATCAACAATTGTACTACTTTATAAACTTACTAATAGTGCTCGAGCCGCACCCTCCTAAAGTCTTGCATAAATCCGCAAATTCTGCAGCAACCGTAATCTTTTGTGTAAAATTAAATATTTTGCTCAATAACGCTCCCGCAGTGACAAAAGAGTCGTGTGCTTTTTGGCAGGTTTGGGCATCCATTGTTGGGTCGCAAGTAAAAGACAATTCGAATGCATTGTTATCGGTTGCATTAGTGTTGGTATAATTCCAATTCCTGAATTGCGATCCGTAGAATAATTTGGAATAGGCATCAGATTCAGGACTGCATTTTCTTAAATTAGAAATTTCAAATGAACTTTTTGGATCAAAGCACTCGTAGGACTCCGAGGGAGAAGTCAGTAAGACAATAACTAGAAGTACAACGAGATAGAGACAAGAACGGAAAGAGGCAATCATGGCTGAAATTTTCGTGAACGGCCAAACTCAGTAATCGCAAAGATAAAAACTGGGTTTGATTTTTACTGTGTACGTTATTTGCTTTTAGTTGCTTGGATCCCTCAAAATGTTGTCTCCTTGGGACATTCCTTTAATAAATTTTTGATTAGGTTATTTGGTGCTACGCTTCGCCAATATAAATGCGCAGAAATATTTGTCGTGCACATCGTAATCGTCGATCGCTAAGAATATATTTGAATGCTCAAAACTTGCAGACAAAACTAAAAGAGGTAGACACAAGACTGTCATCGATAATTACGCCTTTGTTGAACACAGGCTTTACTGCGCTATAAAATTTTGATTATCTCCTGCAGTACAGGCACATTCAGCGTTAATTATTTTAAAACTGTGATTTACAGCCAGATAAGCCCAAAAGCTGGAATGGCTGAATGAATCTAATTTGAGGATTTTTTTTTTTTTACCGGAGCAAATCATTCAGATATGTAGGTTAATATGTATTCAAAATAAGGCCAACTTTTTTGAATAGGGGTTTATTTATTACACAGATCCGGATGGTGAGACCCTGTAGATAAATGATAGATTAGCTAAAAATAGAACTTATGAACATCAAATTGTGTTGCAAAAAAAAACAAAAACAACCGGAATTCTGCGGGTTAGGAATAATAAAACGCAATATTGGGCAATCATCAATGAATGAAACGGTTCAGACTATGACGCCAAATGAGATCCCATTCCCAATTCTCGATTTCTCTTTTCGATCACGAAGCAATCTCTTTTTGCACAAAAACTCTGTATTTGTTCTGTTTTTACGCAAGTGGAGAAACGTTCTTTTTAGAAAACTGTTATGTTTGGGTATTTGCATACTCAAGTCAACGGATGGTAATACTAATATGTTGATGCTCTCTCTTTTTTAAGAAAAGTGGTGAGATTATCTGACCAGCCAAACATACTTAATTAATAAAACTTATGCATGGAACCTAAGTTTCTTAATATGAGAGAATGTCAACATAGTATGAAAGTTATTCATCGTATCAAAGAAGCGTTAGATATCACAATGTACGGTCCTCCTGTTTATGCCTTTGTTCTTATGCTTTCAATGTCTTTTACTCGCTGTATGACCACTCACTACAAGATAACATTGTGTGTGTCAGTAGAACAGCAAATCGTTAATCATGATTTACAGCGCATGCATACATAACTATTTGTACAAATAGTTTAGCGTTAATCTTTCAAAATTTTAACTTTATATCCCAATTCTGCTGTATGTTTATTTTTAATAATTACAGTAGAACCTCCCTCTATTCTACAAACCTCTCATAAAAAACGGTTTATCATGGGACGAGTCTGACTTATTAGTAGATAGAATAAACTCTATAATAAAACATAATTTGGCTGTCTCGACTGTGTTCTTTTATGGAGATTCAACTATATAGCAAGTTTTTTATCATACTGTTAAAATTTTGAGTTTTTATGACTGACTGAAGCCGACGTTATCGATTTTCGCAATTTAAAATATGCCGCATCTGAAAAGTTAGTGTAACGGACACTTGACTCATAGAAGGCATTATATTAATAAGCAGCTAACTGACGATAGACTAGCAACAATATGAAATTCGGATTGCGGAAATAAAGTTATTTGGAATTTCCATTTGATTATATTTATTGTAAGAAATGTTATACAGTTGTAATAATTAAGTTAATCAAGAAAATGATCAATTATTATTATTGAAAGAGTTACAAAATTACGAAAGTAAAAGTACACACCAACGTTTGGTTGAAGTCTAAGGCACTTGCTGATATTGATAAGTCAACTTTTTCAGTTTCTCATGAGATTTAATATCACGTGCAGAAAGCCAATGTACGATTTATACAGGATGGTGTATACATACTGGGCTGTTATGTAGTCTGCTTACATGATGGCTCAGAATATGCGTGCAAACGTGTAGAATGTGCTTACACAATAAATAATGAATGCGATTGTTTCATAGTCAACAAACGTTTCTTTTTTAGTTAACGATACAGTACTACATATTGATCCAAACAAAGCAATCTGCATAGTCGATACTAATTCATACATGCCTTTTTAAAAAATAACAGTTTTATGAAACATCTTACTGATTGATAAACATGCATGCGGTGTATTCAACTTGTGCGTTATCTGTCTATGAATCTGCAAAAACTTGTGTAAAATAATTATTCAGAATGCCACAATGTATTATAGCTCACCCTGAAAGTCTTATCACATTTACGCTAATAAATTGACAAGTAACATGTTAACAATAAACCAGAGACAAATACAAGATTTGAAACCTAATTATTTACTTTGCCAAATAACGTGCAAAAAATTGACGTGTAAGAGAAGTATAGTAGACTACTCTGTCTGCCAACAAAGAAAAAATAATCAAGTCCATAGTTGCAACTCTATGTTAATTTGTTAAAAAAACCCCGCCCCTATTAAATTTTTTCGTAAAAAGACTTTTGTAAACTTAATGCGTATAAAGTATAACTTTTACGTCAATTAATGTTGGGTATCTTGTACCTCAGTTGGGGCCTGTCTCAGTCCTGGACTGAGTGACTGGGTTCTGAACTGAGACAGGTCCCAAACTCAGACACAACAATTACCAAATAATTATTTATTATCTGACCTTACTCAATTACAAGGCAATTGCAAAGCATTATTGAGTAACAAACTGCATAGTAATATAGTATGTTTGATATATAACACTTAAAACCCCACCATTTTTGCATTTCAACAAATATTTTACAGTTTTTTCTTTTTTTTGTTTGGGCTAGTTTTAAATTATTCTTTATTATATAATTACAGGTAACAATACCTAAATAACTAAAAGCATATTAACATAGACACCCTTGCTGAATCTAAATTTAGTTATTCAAGACTGGACTTTCATTTACTA